ACTGCCTACCTCCTGGGTGGCCTGGGACTTGTGCACTAGTGTGCCTTTCCCCAAAACTAGGGGGTGGTACCTGGTGAAGAACCCTTGCCGATTCCCATCACAGGGTTCATAGCGGCATGGCGTGACAAAGGGGCAGTTGGGGTCATGCCCTTCCTAGCGGTCCTGGGTATGGGTGCTGGCGTCGCCACTGGAGAGGTGAGACTGAATACCTCCCTAGCTGTTTACCATTGGTTTCCTCTCAGTTCATCCGACAGGTGGCTCAGACCATCCTTACCCTTCAGGGCCACCATAAGTGCTGCAAAGCCGGTGAGGATTAGGGTTGCTTACAGCAGAAAGAGGTGGTCTCTTCCTCAGGGAGCAATGTTGCTTCTAGGTCAACCAGTCAGCGACAGTAAAAGACAAGATCTGACAACTCCAGATGTGCAGATGGAGTTTATGTCCCACCTGGTCCCACAGCTGTTTAGCCTCAAATAAACACACAGAGACTTGTATTAAGTATAAACTGTTTGGATGATGGCTTAGGCTTTGTACTGGCTAGCTCCCTCTTAATTATTAACTCGTAACTATTAATCTATGTATTTGTACATGGTCTTATCTTACCATGTAAGACCTATTGGGAAGGTCCTGCCTTCCCAGCAGCTATATGACGTCTCCCTAGCGGCCTCTCTCTCCGTTCTCTCCCCAGAATTCTCCTGGTCAAGTAGCCCCACTATCCTTCCTGCCTGGCTACTGAACAATCAGTGTTTTATTCATCAGCCAATAAGAGAAACATATATACATCGTCTCCTCTTATGGCTAAATAAAAAGAAATGTTTTAACTTTAACATACTAAAAGTATATATAAAAAACAGTTATCAAGTAAGAACTATAGCTAACAATATTTAGTTCATTAGCATTTAGCAAACTTTAAAGAAAATATTCTATCATTTATCCTATCTTTGTGAGTCTAAAGTTTTATGTATACCTTAGTTTTTATCACAACTAAGGAAAAGCTCCTGGCATTGGTGGGGCACACCTTTAATCCCAGCACTCAGGAGGCAGAGGCAAGTGGATCTCTATGGGTTTGAGACCAGCCTGGTCTACAGAGCTAGTTCCAGGACAGGTTCCAAAGTAATACAGAGAAACCCAGTCTCGAAAAACCAAATACATACACACACACACACACACACACAGAGAGAAAGAGAGAGAGAGAGAGAGAGAGAGAGAGAGAGAGAGAGAGAGAACCATAACTATATGTCTTTAACTCCATCAAAGACCTCAGAAGGATAATATATAAAACTCTAGAATTGACAGAGACATCTCACTGCCTGGACAGTCACCCAAAGTTCTTCTGTAACATTGGAGCATCCATCTTCAGCCCATAGACCACAGTGTGTCTGTCAGATTTCTCAGTGAAGCACGAAATTTGAAACTGTCCACCTGTATTGCCAGTTTGTCAGTTATTTTTCTGTGTCCTACAGAATGTCTGCCAGTCTCTTCCATCAAGCAGGAACTCTGAAGGACTCTCCCGTCTTGTTTTGGCAAGTTCAGCAGTCACTTTCCTGTGGGTCCTGCATGTCCAGTTTATACAGCATAAAGTCAAGAAGTCCAGGCAAGAGCGGTTTCCTGTCCAAGTGGCTATTCCTGTCATGTTGAAGGCAAACTCCATAATGAGTTTCTTTGATGCCCATCTTCCTCTCTGACATAACTGGTGTTACCAGGAGCAGTTGTGTCTCATTGTCATGAAAAACACTAATAAACCACTTTAAGTGCCATATTCTGCAGGTCTTTGAAAGGTTTGAAGAATATGGTGTAACACTGGTGAACATATTTATTAGTGGAGCTGAACTCGCAGAAATGCCATAAGGCAATATCCCAGAATACTGGGAGAATTACAAGCATCCAATATCAACATGGATTGCCTGAACTTTCATTGATTGTCCCAAAAAGAATTATGAAAAAACCCTATTTAATCTGAAAAGGCTGACTTATGGGTAAAGGAGCAGGAAGTTCAAAGACTGATGTTTTCCCAGGATGGCAGACCCTGCTTTCAATATCCAGCCCTTGAGAAGGAATTTGTGGATTATTCTCCAAAAGCAACTCCTGACAACTGATAACTCACTCATCTAAGGACACCACATTCTCCCAACTGGAAAGAAACGAATAACTAGTCTGTACTTTTACACTGATGTAAAAATAAATAAATAAAATAAAAATAAAAACACAGCCAGCTGTTTCTGTCATTTCTCACATTTTTTAGAAGTCACATGCTCGAACTTCTGTTTACTCAGTTAATATTATTTCCTTCTTGGGTCTCTGAGGAGGTTGAAGACTAAATAACATAGTTATAGTCTTCCCTGTTTACCAGAATCAGTAAAGAAACTTACTATATATGCATTAAGTATAATAGGTTTAAAAGACATTAAAAGATAATTTGATAATACAAATTAGAATAGAAAGTAAAGTAGGTACAAGACTTTGGATTCATCAGGAAAGGATAGTGTAGTATTTTCTTGGAATTTGTCATATGTTTATGTACTAGAAATTGTTATTGTACTTATTGCCATGTATTTATTAATATAGTTATTGTACTTATTTTACATAGTTTTTCTTATATTAGTTATAACCTTTTTTAAATTTTACACAAAAAAAGGTGGCTATGTGGTGATATCTTGCTTGTACAAATAAAACCTGTCTAGGGGGTCAGAGAATGGAGTTTGCCACTAGCTAACCATACAGATGAATCTCCAAAAAAATATGAGAAACAGTTTGATGCCTCTGGCCATGGCTCACTGACAGTCCAACATGAAGCTGAATAATACCCTCCTTAGTCCCATTTCTCCTCCTCTTAATCCTACTAGTTGTACCTTGCCTTATAAACTTGCCTAGATTTCTCCAACAACAGATTTGAGAGATTTCTGATTTGGTTTTTAATTGCTCTGTGTAGCCCTGGCTGTCCTGGAACTCACTCTGTAGACTAGGCTGCCCTCAAACTCACAGAGATCTGCCTGTCTCTGCCTCCTGAGTGCTGAGATTAAAGGGGAGCACCACTACCACCTGGCCAGGTACAAAAGATTTCTAACCAGACTTTTGATCTGTTGCTTTTACAGGATTACCAGTCCCTAGCCACAGAGCCAGAGGCCAGTGACTACTGACTACACCCTGATGGTGAAGATCAAGTTCACCCAAAGGACTCTGATGCCCTGATTCAACAGGAAGTAGTCAAAGATAACATCGTTCCCTTCCCCATGACCTGATTGTTTATCACCAGTAAAAAAGGGGGGAATGTAAGCCCCTTGGAGCCACATGAGTAGCCAGGCCCCTCCCCCCAGGACCTGTAATTGCTAGGTTCCATGCACAGAATACTCTAACTGCCCTAATTGCTGGACCCTGACCCCATCCTACAGAGTAAAAAGCCCCCACTCTCTGGGCTTGAAATCCCACCAATCTCCATCCTGGAAAGCTTCACCCTGAAAAGTTCCATCTCTCTCCCCAAGAAACTCTCCATAAGCCCTGCCTTCTGTTCAGTTCTCTGCTGTTTCATGCCCAGAGGCAGCCACCCTTCTGGGCCTTTCCCTCCCAATAAATCTCTTGTGTGAGGTTTGTTGTGCAGTGTGACTTTGTGGTAGTTTGCTTGCTTGTTTCAAGACAGGGTTTCTCTGTGTAGCTTTTGGAGCTTGCCCTAGACCTAGCTCTTGTAGACCAGGCTGGCCTTGAACTCACAGAGTGCCTGCCTCTGCCTCCTGAGTGCTCACGCACCACCACTGCCCAGAGATTTTGTGGTATCGTTTGGCTCCCAACTGCCAGGATACCTTTCTGTTCAAGCTGTAATACTTACACTATCCCCTTTTAGATTTAGGTTTAGGATTCAGTCTCTCAGATTGAAGCCATAAATGTCAGGACTTTCAGAAATAAACACGTTCCAGGAATAATGAATGGGTATTAGAGTCATGGCTCAGTGGTAGAGCCCCTGCCTAGACCCGACATGAGGAGCTATATGGATGAAAGTTTCTGTCTAGCATGATCCCATGGCCATTTAATCCCAAATAAACACAGAGATTTATATTAATTATAAACTGGCTGACGGCTCAGACTTATTTGGCTTCTTCTCTTGATTATTAGCCTGTTTCTATTAAAATGTGTAGCTCCACTTGTCTTGGCTTACCAGTCATGCCGGCTTCCTTTATTCCTCAGCAGTCACATGGCAGCTCTCTGGCGACTGTGTTCCTCTTCCCAGCCTTCCACTCTGGTCATCTCACCTGTACATCCTGTCTGTCCATCGACTAAAACAGCTTTATTCATCAACCAATAGGAGAAACATATACTCACAACATACAGGACATCCCCCATCAGAGCGCGGGGGGGGGGGGGGGGATGTATATCTCCATAGTAGTATACCCATGTCTAGCATGCTAGAGGCTTTGAACTTTTGCCTCAGCACAGGAGAAAAATAAATAGAAGGCAAGTGTCTTAGTTACTGTTCTATTGCTGTGAAGAGACACCATGACCAAGGCAACTCTGATAAAAGAAAGCATTTAATTGGGGCTTGTTTATAGTTTCACAGTTAGTCCATAATTATCAGGGAAGCAGACAGGCAATGTCTGATCAGCAGGCAGCAGGCCAGAGAGAAGACTGAATCTGTCATGGGCTTTTGAATATTCAAAGCCCACCCTCAGCGACTCATCTCCAACAAGGCCACACCTCCTAATCCCTCTCTAACAGTTCCACTAACTGGAGACCAAGCATTCAAACATTGGAGCCGATGGGGACCGCTTTCATTCAACCACCACAGCTGGTTTAATCAGTACACCTGTTTCCTATGCTTGAGCTAGCCAAGGAAGATATTCCAGGAATTGTCCAGCACCTGCTCAGGCATGTGGGGTCTCTACTGTCCCTGAAAGGCAGTTTGGGAACTCAGCCAGGAGAAAACTGTGAGAGTGGAATTCTGGTAATCTCCCTCTGAAAAACTGGGAGCTTTGAATTTTCAGGTCTTTCTTCAAAGCTATGGATGGGTTTGTAGGTCAGTCAAGGCACCCTGGGTAGAGATACTTATCAAAGTCTTGGGGGTCATCATCCCCAGGCAAGTCATACATTTTCACTAATGTATCTATGTCAAAGGCCAGAGATACCCAGGGAGGTTGGACCATCCTCGGGCTGCTTTGATAGATGCCCAAAAGCTCAGAATGCTCCACACACTTCGCTGTAGAGGCAGCATCTTCAGGTTGCTTTGCTCTAAAATTCTCCCATGATTCCAGGTCACTGTTGTCTGAGCCCCTGGTACTTGGCAGTTGAGCATAGTCAGCCTTGAGCACCAACACCTCACCGACCTCATCATCTTTCAGGGATTTCACCTGCTTAGATGGTTTTCTTCTCATTGTCTTGGCCTGGTTGGATGGCGCACCCATCTCTCTCGGTGCCTGGTTGGATGCTGCACCCATCTCTCTCGGTGCCTGGTTGGATGGCGCACCCATCTCTCTCGGTGCCTGATTGGATGGCGCACCCATCTCTCTCGGTGCCTGGTTGGATGCTGCACCCATCTCTCTCAGTGCCTGGTTGGTTGGCGCACCCATCTCTCTCGGTCCATGGTTGGATGGCACACCCATCTCTCTCGGAGCCTGGTTGGATGGCGCACCCATCTCTCTCGGTCCATGGTTGGATGGCGCACCCATCTCTCTCGGTCCCTGGTTGGATGCTGCACCCATCTCTCTCGGTGCCTGGTTGGATGGCGCACCCATCTCTCTCGGTGCCTGACTGGATGGCGCACCCATCTCTCTCGGTCCATGGTTGGATGGCACACCCATCTCTCTCGGTCCCTGATTGGATGCTGCACCCATCTCTCTCGGTGCCTGGTTGGATGCTGCACCCATCTCTCTCGGTGCCCGGTTGGATGATGCTCTTCCCACACTCTTGACTGGGTTGGATGATTCTTTTCTCACTCTCTTGGCCCGGTTGGATGGCGCACCCTTCTCTCTCAGTGCCCGGTTTGATGGCGCACCCATCTCTCTCGGTGCCCGGTTGGATGCTGCACCCTTCTCTCTCGGTGCCTGGTTGGTTGGCGCACCCTTCTCTCTCGGTGCCTGGTTGGATGGCGCACCCTTCTCTCTCGGTGCCTGGTTGGATGGCGCACCCATCTCTCTCGGGCCCTGGTTGGATGCTGCACCCATCTCTCTCGGTGCCTGGTTGGATGCTGCACCCATCTCTCTCGGTGCCTGGTTGGTTGGCGCACCCATCTCTCTCGGTCCATGGTTGGATGGCGCACCCATCTCTCTCAGTCCCTGGTTGGATGATGCACCCATCTCTCTCAGTGCCTGGTTGGATGATGCTCTTCCCACACTCTTGACCGGGTTGGATGACTCTTTTCTCTTTCTCTTGGCCTGGTTGGATGATGCTCTTCTTACTGTCTTGGTCTGGCTGGATGATGCCTCCACCTCTCTTGGTGCCTGGCTGGATGATGCCTCCACCTCTCTTAGTGCCTGGTTGGATGATGCCTCCACCTCTCTTGGTGCCTGGCTGGATGATGCCTCCACCTCTCTCAGTCCCTGGTTGGATGATGCTCTTCCCACACTCTTGACCGGGTTGGATGATTCTTTTCTCTTTCTCTTGGCCTGGTTGGATGATGCTCTTCTTACTGTCTTGGTCTGGTTGGATGATGCCTCCACCTCTCTTGGTGCCTGGCTGGATGATGCATCCCTCTCTCTAGTAGCTTGGTTGGATGGTGCTCTCCTCACTACCTTGGCCTGACTGGATGTTGCCAGAGGTGACCTCCACTGATGGTTTTGCTGCTGTGTCTGAAGTTTGTCTCGTTGATTTCTAAACCACATCTGAGAATAAGAAAGGATGGTTTTGGATCTTTTTAAAAAACCAACTCATCTTTTTTAAAAGATACTTTAACATATACATTATATCAGAATATATTTTACATATTGGGGTTTTTTGGGGTTTTGTTGTTGTTTGTTTGTTTATTTTTTGGTTTTTTGTTTGGTTTTTGTTTGTTTTTGGTTTTGACCCAGGGTTTTTCTGTGCTGTCCTGGAATTCACAGAGACTACCTGCCTCTGTCTCCTGGGCACTGGGATTAAAGGTGTGTGCCACCATGCCTGTTTTGGGTTTTTTTGTTTGTTTGTTTGATTGGTTGGTTTGGTTTGGCTTGGGGATTTTTGTTGTTGTTGTTGTTTTTAATGATGTCTTCTGTGCACATGAATGCAGTGTCAACCTGGAGTTACAGGTGTCTGTGAACCACCATATGGGTGCTGGGAGTTAACCCCCCCTCTGCTACAGCAGCAGCAAGTGCTTTTAACCAGTAACCCAGTGTCCAGTCTGAGTCATCTCTTACTGGCTCATTTTTTTGAGACAGGATGAGTGGCTCCTGTGCCAGGGATAGAACTCAACTTTGTGCATTCAAGGCAATCACTCTACCAGCTGAACCCATTACCATGAGTCTGAAAGCACATTAATAAAGGGACCAGTCCAGAGGAGAAATGCATGATCCTAGAGAATGCTGTTTGGGTGTGAGAAAACTAGCTACTAGTCTCCTCAGGGTTACCAAAACCAGTTCTTTCTAGCCTCTCGTCCTGGATCCTGGAAGGTAGGTGCTGTGGGACTCTCAGTGGCCAAAACAGGCAGCAGCATCTAACCCTGGATCACAAGACACTAAGACTGTTCAGACTGTCAAGGACAATATTCTGGGCCGTATGTCTGTCTCAAGAATAATATCAACACCTGCTTGAAAATCCGGCATAGGACGGCACATGCCTACAATCCCAGCATTTTCAGAAGTGGAAAATCTGGAAATCAAGACTAGTCTCAGATACTGAAAGGGCCAGGTGGTGGTGCACACTTTTAATCCCAGCACTGGAGAGGCAGGAGGAGGTAAATCCCTTTGAGTTCAAGGCCAGCCTTGTTTATAGAGTGAGTTCCAGGACAGCCAGGGCTACACAGAGAAACCCTGCCTCAAAAAAACACAAACAAACAAAAAACTGGAAGGAGAGGAGGGTGCAATTGGACAGATGGCTCAGCGGTTAGGAGCACTTGCTGCTCTTACAGAGGACTTGCGTTCCACTCCTGCACCCACCACCTGTAACTCTGACCCCGTGGGACATGACAACCTCTTCTGGCAGTCTCAGGCATGCGCATGGTGCACATACAAACAAGCAGGCACACACGGTAAATCATTGACAACAGCCAAGCCCATGTGAAGCCCTTCTTAGTTGGCTGTTGTGAGCAGCTCTTCCTGTACAAACCTTCACCACCAGCTCCTTAAGCTGGAGCCTTGAAGCCAGTTCCTGGCTTTCCTCCTTCGACGGGAACATGTTGCTGTCAAAGGCCTCTTGGAGTACCTTAATCTGTTCCAGGCTGAATACGGTGCAGTATTGATGGTCATGTTGTGACTGTCCTGCTGGAGAGGCAAGAACACTTGTTTTAAGGCATTTTTGGGGGGGGGGGGCTGGGTTTTGGTTGGTTGGTTGGTTTGGTTTATTTTTCAAGGCATCTATAGCTCTGGCTGTCCTAGAACTCGCTCTATAGACCAGGCTGGCCTCAAACTCATAGAGATCCACCTGCCTCTGTCTCTGCCTCCCAAGTGTTGGGATTGAAGAAAAGCATCACCACCACTGGGCACATTTCAAAAATTCTTAAATTACAAGTCAGGTGGTGGCGGTGCACACCTTAAATCCCAGCACTCGGGAGGCAGAGGCAGACAGATCTCTGGGAGCTCGAGGCCAGCCTGGTCTACAAAGCTACACAGAGAAACCCTGTCTTGAAAAAATCAAAATAAATAAATAAAAATTCTTAAATTACATTCATTTATTTATTCTTGTGTGTGCATACACACTGCACAGCACATGTGTAGGGGTCAGGAGACAATATGCAGGAGCTGGTTCCCTCCTTCTGCCATATGAATCCCCAAAACTGAATTCAGGTCACCAGGCTTGGTGGCAGAACATTTACTCACAAGCTATCTTGACCCTTTTATTTTCAAATAAATATCCCAGTGTGAGTGAGCAGAGTATAGCAATACATGCCAATAACCACAGCACTTGGGCGGCTGAGGCAAGCATCTCTGAGCATATGACCAATAATCAATAGAGAAGCATTCAGCATCTCTAGCCACCAGGAAAATACAAATGAGAACTACAATGATGGGTTAGAGAGATGGCTCCCTGGTTAACAATACCTACTTGCCCTTACAGAGGACCAGAGTTCAGTTCCCAGCCCTGACTGGGTGACTCATACTGCCTGCCTTTTTTTAGCCTTCATGGGCACCTCACTCACAAACACACACTTAAGCACAGACCTGCATATTAACATAGTTAAAAATAATAAAAATTGGGGCTGGAGAGAGGCAAACACTCTAGCAGCTCAGCTACTTGCTGTTCATGCAGAGGACCCCAAGTTTAGTTACCAGCATCGACAATGGTGGCTCGCACAACCATCTATAACTGTGGTTGCAGAAGTTGCGATACTTATGGCATGCACAGACATGGCTGCAGGCAAACACTCTATACAATCATCTGATTGATAATCTTGGTGTTCAACTTGATTACATCTGGAATTAACTAAAACTCAAGCAGCCTAGCACACCTGTGAGGGATTATTAGAGACCCATCCGAAATTCAAATCACTTGAGATTAGAAAACCCATCCTGGCCAGGCAGTGGTGGCACACACCTTCAATCCCAGCACTCGGGAGGCAGAGGCAGGCGGGTCTCCGTGAGTTTGAGGCCAGCCTGGTCTACAGAGCGAGTTCCAGGATAGCAAAGTTACATACTGAGACTGTCTCTGTTTTGTTTGAGACAGACCCACTGTAGCCCTGGCTGACCTGGAACTCAGGGATCCACCTGCTTCTGCCTCCCTAGCGCTGGGATTAAAGGACCAGCTAATGAAAATGGGAGAGAGAGAGAGAGAGAGAGAGAGAGAGAGAGAGAGAGACAGGGAGAGAGGGAACAAATGCTGGTGAGGACGGAGGGAAGGGTCTCTCTACACTATCAGTGGAAATGTAAACCAGTGTGACCATTAGAGAAAGCAGTATGGAAATTCCTCAGAGCAGGAGAATTAGGATTACTGTATGGTCCAGCTGTATCATCCCTCGTCTCGGGCCAAAGGGATCTAATCTAATCAGAACGCCAGAGGGTTACCTGAGCGTCCTGGGGACTGTAGTTGTAGTCACAGTAACCAAGGGATGCAATCAGTTTAGAGGTCTATCAGTGAGTCGGTGGATGAAGGAAATGGTGAGGCTGGGTTTTCAACTTGGTTGCACTGGATAAGACTGGGAAGTATTATTGGGGACAAGGGAACTGTGTTATGCACGGGCAACTGAGTTGAACTAGAGACCATTCCATTAAGCTAAATGAGCCAGACTCACAAAAACATCAATTCTCTCAGAAGAAACTAAAAATAAAATGAAAAAAGTTTAGGGAAACTAAAAATAATTATAAATAAGTGGGGCATGGTGGCACACCTTTAATCCCAACCTGGGGAGTAGGGGGCAGAGACAGGAGGGTTGATCTGATCTATAGAGTGAGCCAGGACTACAGATAAACCTGTTTATCTTTCTTTCTTCCTTTCTTTGTTTTTAAGAAAGAAGGAAGATTATATATATATATATATATATATATATATATATTTTTTTTTTTTAAATAGAGTTGTAGTAATGGCTCTGTGGTTCAGAGCACTTGCTGCTCTTACAGAGGACTCTAGTTCTGTTCCTAGCACTCAAACCAGCGGTTCACAACCGCCTTTAACTCTAAGGGCACCGGCATAGATCACACACTCCCCTCTTGCAAAGGAGTCCAGTTCAGTTCCCAGCACCCATGACCTCTGGCTCACAAGGGATCACTCCCTTCTGGCCTCCATGAACACTCGAAATCACACAGACACACATACTTATAATTCATTAAAATGTTTAAACAGAAGGCATGTGGGGCATGGCTCCACAGTGGACCCCTGCTTAACACATGCAACGCCATGAGTTCTAACCTCTGGAGGTAAAGAAAGTAAAAAGAGGTAACACGGTAGCAGAGGTTATGAAAGATGTGGAGAAACAGAAACCCATGTCGGGACCTAGTTTTGAACCCCAAATTGAACATTTCCCATTTGAAGCAGCCACGGCCGTCTGCATCCCCACCCCCTTTCCTACCCGGGCTCCTGCCCTTAGCTCACCTGACATTGAAGCCTTCAGAGCAGGAGATTCTTCCCAGGACTGCGTCCACAGCGATGCAGGACTTGGAAATTTAAACAAAATCATCTCAAACACTGTCTGGGTGGGTTAACCTGCAGTTTTGGCTTGGGTCGTTTCGTGGGATGCAGGGCAAAATGTAAACTCTAGCGATCAATGTCGGACTACGCTACAGAGTGAGACAGCCTGGGTTTATGTTGTGATGGCTTCCCAACATAATTTTCTTAAATAAGGGAGCTGGGCAGGGCACACACGCCTGTAATCCCAACATCCGGGAGGCAGAGGCAAATAGACCTCTGCTTGACCCAGCAGTTAATACGGAGAAATCCTTTCCAAAAAAAAAAGGAAGATTGATTAAATGCAGAAAATGTAAAAAAAAAAAAAAACTTTAAAAATATTTAAGTTTTAAGTCTTAAGAAACTTCACTGGAGACAGGCAGGGACTCACTATATAGCCCTATGTGACCTGGAACTGGAACTCTCCTCATAGCCCAGGCTGACCTCAAATTCACAGAGATCCTCCAGCCTCTGCCTCTAGAGCTCTGGGATTAAAGGTGTGGGCCACAATGCCTGGCGTGATGCACAGTTTTTAAAATTTCTTTGAAGCCCAGTTTGTCTGTTTTTTGTTTGCTTCCCCCGGTTCCGGTGTGCTTAGTGATATGTCTTTTTGCTTCGTTTTTGTTTTGTTTTCTAGACAGGGTTTTTCTGTGTAGCCCTGGCTGGCCTGGCTGGCCTCCAGCGCTTGGATTAAAGGCATGTGCCACCAACTGCCCTGCCCCGCCCCACCCCACCCCATCCTGGGAGCTTAGTGATATGACTAAGAAACTGCACCAAATGTTCCAAATCCAGGATGTGATCTATCCTTCAGGGATCTGTGCGGCTCGGGCTACCGGAAGACCAAGTTCTCAGCACAAAGGAGATGTCTTTGCCACAGAGGAAGAGAGGGCAGGAATTAAGAGACAAAGACCGGAGACGGGATGAGAGAGAAGGGAAAGAGGACAAGGGAAAGAGAGAGGGTTATTTATTCCCTGGAGGACAAAAGACTGTCTCTGGACGGAGAGGAGACAGACGTGCAAAATAGACAAACGGCAGTTTATAAGAGTAAGATGGGAAACCGCGATTAGGATGAGGTGTTTAATTTTAGTTGGGCATGTTAATTAAGGCAGCCAAAGGGGGCTTTCGATTACTGGATTTCAATACTTTGTTAGCAAGACCTTGCTCATCAGCCTCAGGAGGATGAAGTGGCCAGATAAGGGAAAAGACCTTGGTGGCTAGCTTTAGGAAGGTAATCTAACGGTTTTTTAGCAAGGCGGAGGGAGTGGGGAGAAGTCTGTGTTTGTCATTCTTGGACTGGCTACAGTCCCTTCAATATATAATAAAAACAAAAGTGCTCCTTTTCCGGGAATTGTTGGAGTATTCTTAAAAACTGCCCAGTCTTGTAAAAATTTTTTACTACCCCGGTTGTTTTTACAAGATAAAGGATCTTAGGAGATAACTGATAGTTCTGATTTTGAAAAAAAAAAATTGCTCCCTTGCTCAAGATAACTGAGGGACTTCTGCAAACATCCATTGCAAAGTCAAGTCCTGTTTACACAAAACAGAGTATGAGCTAACCCAACCGCAAAGCTGTAACTCTGTGCGGTTTGCCATTAGAAACTCCTGACTGACAGAGCTGGAGGTTGCCTCTTGGGAGCATTCTCAGGTGGAACCCTGGTGGCAGATACAAGTCAGCCATGGTTCCAATATCTATGTAAAAGCCTATTATTTGTTTAAATTTTTTCATGGTGAATCTCAGAGCAACCCCTAACCCGTAACATTGCAAACAATTTCTACCCCCTCCTTATAAAATGGAAGAAAATGAATCAAGCCCTGTTGGCTCAGGGCTACCCACAGCTACCCTTCAAGGTCACGAGGAGAAAGGGCTTCAAGGCCTTGATCTCCTTGAACCGGGAGATCATTGGAAAGAAAAGAACAGTTGATTTTAAAATGGCTCAACAGGACCTTCAGAGAGAGGAGAGGCATCCCTAAAAGCCTGGAGACCAGCCTCATTCGGAGTGAGAATGAAGGACTGGAGAGATGGCTCAGCCGCTAAGCGCCCTTGCTGGTGACCAGAGTTTGGCCCCCAACACCCACATCAGAGGCTTACAACCATTGTTGGCTCCAGCTCCAGAGGACCCAATGCCTCTTGTGGCCCTGGTGGGCACTTACATGTGTGTGGGCAACATACATACATTCATGCTCAAGCACAGGTACACACGCACACACTCACAAATATAAAGTATTCTAAATTACACAGAATATTGTGTGTGCACATGCCCAAGTATTGATACCCTGGAGTTACAGGAAAGTGTGTAAGCTGCCTGAATAGCACATACACGCTAAACTGTTGAGGCATCCCTCTAGTCTTAAAAAATTAATATTTTTAGCTGGGTGGTGGTGGTGCACACCTTTAATCATGGCACCTGAGAGGCAGAGGCGGCCAGATCTCTGAGTTCGAGGCCAGCCTGGCCTACAGGGTGAGTTCCAGGACAGCCAGGGCTAACCCTGTCTCCAAAACAAAACAGCAACAATAATATTTTTAAAATGAAAAATAGGGGAGTGTGTATGTCACCACGAGAGGAAGGAGGGCACTCAGAAAACTGCCTTCTGCGAGATCCCCCAAAGGAAATAGCTGGCTGGTTTTAGTTTTGGGGAGCCCGGTGGGAGGTTTTTTTCACCATACAATTTAGTTCAACATGGTATGCACAATAACAAGCATGGAGGAACTAGGTACCACAAATTAAGAGCTGTTAGCCACAGGAAGGGTACTTTTTGGGGGTGGGAGGTTCAAGACAAGGTTACTCTGTGACCTGGAACCACTATCTCAAACACAGAGATCTGCCTGCCTCTGCTTCCCAAGTTCTGGAAGTAAAGTCATGCACCACTAGGGAGAGAGTGGCAAAGGGTGTGGCCTGATTTCTTCAGGCTGTGAGGTCTGGCTGCTTCTCATTATCATCTGTCACCTACCTACAAGGTCCTGGTGATGAGCCAAGTCATGATTCCATCAAAATTCAACCTGGGGAGCCCATGAATTTATTGGGCTCATTTATAGAGCGTGGGTGAAGGGTTGCTTACAAGAGCTAGGAGATCCCAAAGCTGCAGCATGACGAAGTCTCCCCTAGCTGGATGATGGCTTCTCTCCATCCCTGAGGATGGAGTTCATTTCCACTAACTTCACACTGTATACTCCAGACCTGCTGAGACCCAGAAGACCCACAATT